GGCACCAGCCAACCCCACTCCCTATCCCAGTCCATCTCCTCCAGAGAGAGAGGTCTCTGGACCTCTCTCCAGGACAGCCCCATGTAGGGGTGGCACAGGAATCTCCTTGACATAGGTCCCATCTCTGAAAATCATTGTCTTCAAGTCTATTTGGGGACTTGACTGTGGCGTCAGTGAGAAGGGGGAGRCCTTCCTCGTCTTCTGCTTTCCCCATGCCTCCAGCTCCTAAGGGGCAGGTACTCAGGAACAGCCCTCATGGGTCCTCCCCATGTGACCTCAGGGAACCCTCTGTCCTCACTAACCATGGAATTTGCAGACGTAGCCCAGCACATGGGTGGGAGGTTGACGTCAGGATGGACAGGGTTGCTGCCCTAGCCATCCCAGCATCTCCCATGGTTTTGTCCCCAAGCTTCTATCTTATTCCCATCCCTGCCTGCCAGGGTACTCATCTCTGAGCCTAACTTCAGCATCAGAGCCAAAGAGCACAGATCCCAAGACCCCAACCCAGACCCCTGCACCCAAGGAGAGGCAAACCTAGGCTACAGAGCACAGCCAGCCCAGAGCTCCGGGAACACACAGAGAAGGACACAGCCTGCCACTCAGCCTAGAATGAGGATCCAGGACCTCAGGAGCCCAGCTCTACAGCCTGTATAGCCACCAAGGACAAAACCCAGCTATGTGAGCTTGGTCCCTCCAGCCAAGAAGCCACCCTTCGAATTTGTCAAATATCTCATAGGGACTGTCCTGATTCGGGTCTTCAGGTAGTCCCTCATCATTACCTCCCGCATCCCTTTGTTCTCCTCTCAGAAGTAATTGCCTTTAATAAAATGTGTGCCTGTCCTCCTTTGATTGCAAACCTACAGAGCTCTTAAATGGACTGGCTGGAGTCCTAGCCAGCTCAGAGGATGTTTCTGCAAGGAATGAACAGGTGTCAATGGTGCAGTTCTACATGCTGCCACCAGAGAGCAGGATCACCCCACACTCATGGGACCATGGTGGGCACCCACAGGTGAATGGAAGTCTTCTTTTCCCCTGGGTTGGTCACTTTTCTGTACAGAGAAACTCCATTATCTGCTTGGGAGTAATGTGTGAGGACACCTTTATCTCTGGCAGCTCAGCAGTGGGAGGGGCTGTTGTGGTTTCACCTTAGGATGGAACCCAGTGCCTCACATGTGCTAGGCAAGTGCTCTACCACCAAGCCACAAYCCCAGCCCAGGGAAGCTACTTTCTAATGAAGTCTGTGTGTTTATTTTGATCCTTCAGCTGTGCTGACTCCTGCAAGTTCAGGGATTTTCCTATAACGGGGGTAGGGAGCATCACAGGAGACACCACCTAGACATGAAGGAGTCGGGGAGGTCAGAATCTGGGGCTGGTGGGGTCAGGCCAGGAATTGGGAGGAGACAGTCTTGTTGGCCAGGCCCTGGAAGCTGATCCTAAAAGAAAACAACACTGTTAGATGGAAGAAAGAAATTTATTTCTAAATGGTGCTGGTAGTGTTCTGGTGAGGGCACATGTCTGTCCCCTGCCAGGGCATGTGTGCCCACCTCGATCCCCTACAGCAGCTTATGCACCCAGGAAGGGACAAGAAGTGGGTCTTGGGAGTGGGCGGGGAAGCCCCAGGACCCCTGCCTGGCAGGTTTTCTTAAGGGGTCCTGGGGCTGTGGCTCTCAATGCCTGTGGCTCTCAATGCCTTTCACCCAACCAAGGGTCTTCTCAGCTTCTAGGAGGCATCGTCGCATTAGCACAGAGGACAGCCAAAGTCCACGAGCAGGTTTGGTCCACTGACGTGCCTCTGTCTCCTCCAGCTTGGGCTCCTGGTGAAGAGGGACAAGCTGGGTTTCCTGTTGCTGACCACAAGAGATGCAGTTCTCCAGCCAGGACTCTGCATGCTCCGTRTTGTGACAGTTCCCGGAGAGGTACCAAAGTCCAGGAAGAGAGAAATCTCCCACAGCAGGTCTTCTGCCTCTATTCGTTGAGCCCACCCTGGAGACTCATCTGGAAACTCACCATGTCCTTACCCTACCCTGACCCCATGGCAACAGCTTAAATTGAACCTCCCCCAGCATTGGGCCAGCATCCCCAGCAGTCCTCTGAGTCCCTCACTCCAGTCCATTCTCCATTCTTTTTGCGTGTATGRAGTGTATTTATACTAGCTGTTTGAATGTCCTTGTCTTAAAAAAAAACATTTTTAGTTGTAGATGAACACAATACCTCTATTTTATTTATTTTTTTATGTGGTGCTGGAAATCAAACCCAGTGCTTCACACATGCTAGGCAAGTAGCCACCACCCCAGGCCCTTAATGTTCTTGTCTTCTGATATCATTTTGTCATTGTTGGGTCTCTATTAATTTTTCTCCTCATTACAGGTGGTATTTTTCTGCATCTTTTGCCTGCCTGGCAGAAATGCTTTTGAAAACTAGGTATTTTGAATTTCATGATTTTAGGAGCCAGATTTTTTTTTGGTATTAATTTAAATGTTTTGAATTTGGAATGCATTTAGTTTACTTGGAAACAGTTTAATATGGCTTGCCTTTAACTTTTTTTTTTTTTTTTGGTAGTTTTAGATGAACGTATGCCTTTATTTTATTTATTTTTTTTTGTGGTGCTAAGGATCAAACCCAGTGCCTCACATGTGCTAGGTAARCACTCTGCTGCTGGGCTCCAGCCCAGCCTACCTTTAACTTTTTAGGCAGGGCCAGAATAGTTTTCAGAACTAATGGAACCCAATCAAATCCTTCTGAGTCTTAAAGCTGTAGCTGATGAGATTATGTGTTCCTGATGTTGGAAGATGAAGGGTTTCTAGCCTTGTGTGAGCTCCAGAGATTTCTTTCTGCCCTTTCTGAGAAGTTTCTCCATATCAGGTAAGTTATGGAATCCAGAGCAAATCTCTGAGGCTCAATGCAGCTCTGTCTGGTTGCATACCCTGCCCACTTCCTGAGTTCCCAACTGGAACTGAACTCGGGGAGACCACCTAGCTGTTTGGTCAGGGATCACTATTCTGTTCCTATTGTTTAATGCCTGAAAGCCAAGATTTTTGTCCAGTTTTATAGTTGCATACAGCAGGAGTATATAACTGGTTCCTGTTATTCCATAATGGCTTGAATGAAAGACAAAAGGTCCAATTTTTATCTTTTAGGCAGACTATATCTTTATAGTGGATTATACCTTAGGTATTTTAAAATTTCACTATATGATTAGGTGCGGACATGTCTCCCATTTGGAGMACCAACTCCCTTTCAATCTGAGGCCTCCCCAACCCCTCCTATGAAATTATCACTATTTCCTTCCCTTTACTTTTGAATTTGGAGACTTCTCCCTTTAGAGACTTCTTCGTTGAAATCATTACCTTTAACCTTTTCATGTCACATTTATTTCTGAAGCCCTCTGATAAAACTCTTTGCTATCTACAGTATTTCCAGCTCATTAACCATAGGCTGATCTACTGAGTTTTTATTGATTAGACATTTTAGTTTTTAACCACTTATTTCTACACCACATTACCAATGTCATTTTTTTTTGAGAATGTTTAGCCTAGGGGGTTCAGTTTGTTCTTTTATGACTAAATTCCTCAGAATTTTGGTTATTCTTGCCAGAACACATTCTTTATCGGGAGCTCTGCAATCTTGACTGGAAGAGCCCAGCCCTTTTCTTTTGCCTAGGGTGGAAGAAGGCCAATCGTGTTTCTGCCTCTTAGAATGAGTTTATGCAGGACACATATGGCTCCAAACAGCATCAGTCTGATTACCTGTTCACTGCTTCTGACAACCATGCTGCCAGAGGAAACCCCAGCCCTTCCTTCTGTTGCCTGAAAGCTTAGCTCCTGCAGTGCAGGGAAGCTGCTTCAGGCTGACCACTCTACCTGCATTTGCTTTATCCGATTCTTACTCCTGCCAGGCTCGAGTCATCCTGGAAGCCAAGCTAAGTGCTTGGATTTCTTTTCCACTGTTCATCAGGTTGGGCAACATGTGACCTAGAGGCCACATCTTCCTCTACAGAGACCATCACTGTCCCATCTGCCTCCCAGAGGACTTTTGACATTATTTTCACTCCATGCTCTTTGTTCACAAATTGGCAGTTCTAAGGGAGATTGCCAAATTGACAGAAATCACAGGAGTTTAATTTCCAAAATATGAAAGGGAAATCTTTTTTGTTATGATTGCTTCTTGACCAAGAATGTGGCTACATTTTTTTTTTTTTTTTTTTTTGGTGGCCTCCACAGGATTGAATTTGGGGAATATTGCAACACCACTGGGCTGCCATATACTTCCCCTTTCTGAAGAGCTTGTTTTCCCCATATATCAACATAATTTGAGATGGAATAAGGAAGAGTGGGTGAGTTTTTGGTCTCAGACATGTCATCTTCCATTCATGTCATTTGCATATTTGTAGAGACAAAACTGACTTCAACTGACCCCAAGTTAAGTGGCTGTAAAGATGGGAATGGATGGGGACAATCTCACAATGAAATGAGCAGGATTTTCGTGACGGAGAAAGTGGAGAGGCTGGCTTGACCAGATGCTTAGTGGTTACGACCCATGGAATGAGAACAAAGTTAGCCACTGTGGGGAAGTAATACCCCCAAGATCCACTCGACCCCTTTTCTCTTCCTCTAGCAAGTAATGCATTATAATCTCACACTTCAAACTTGATCCACTATGAAAAATGCAAAATAAAAACTACATCAAATGTCATTTTGCTTGTGCTCTTCATAAGCTTAGGCAAGTGATTTTTTTAAAATGGGCAAACTCTTAAAAATTGCTCGTTTCTTTCACTTCTGTTTGTGCTGTTAATAATATCAATTTACCAAAAAGGTTAACAGAAAACCTTTTAAACATTTCATCAAATCAAACTGACCATTATTTATATTTACCCCTCCACCCACCAAAAGCTCAACTTTTTTTTGGTAATGGTTAAGATATATCTCAAATTCAGAAATTTGAAAAACAATTTGACAAAATATGAAATGGTACACATTAGCTTCTTTATTGAAGAGGCAGCTCAGACTCATATTATATATGCAAAAGTGTGGAATGACAAAATATGTAATGACCCTTTAACCTTTTCCTTAAAATATACATCAAGGTAAGCTTTAAGGACACCGTGTAGGAAATCTTAGTAGACACCTTTAAAACTACTATAGAGTATTTCCTACACAGAATTATGCAAAATCTACCATTTAATTCCTGTTATGTAGCATATTCACATACATTTAGAAAAATATCTTGAAAGAGTGAACTAGCCATTTGGTTTACAAAAAAACTTTTTATCAAAGTGTAATATACATGCAGAAAAATACACATCTTAAGTAAATAGCTCAGAACAGACATTCAGCACCCAGATTTAGAAACAATTATCAGCACCAGATAAACACCCCTATTAAACACTGGCTGAGGCTATGGATTTCTAACTGCATAGACAAATTTTGCCTGTCCTCATACTTTATGTAGCATCATGTAGTCTACTTGCATGTCTGGACTCTTTATTCAGAATTGTGAAATTCAGCAACATTGCTCTGTGGACTTAAAAGTTCAATCATTCTCAAAGCCCTACAGTATCTTGCTGTGAAAAAATACCACTTTATTCAACTTAATTACGTCTTAAGATAATTCTGGGGTTTCTTGCAGTTTCATAGTATGCATATTCAAGCATATGTCCTTTGGTGGACACACATGTGCACGTCTGCCTGACCTGGGTAAGGGCTTATACCCATGTTTAGCTGATAAGTGCCAACTTTCCAAAACAGTTTTTATCAGAGAGCAATTTCACTAGTAGAGTTCCTGTTGCTTACRTGCTTACTAAACCTCGTGCTTTCTCATGCCTTCAATTTTAACCATCTCAGAGGGTGGTAGTAGTAATATTATTTAAAATTTCCATTTCCCTGATTACTAACAAAGCTAAAATCTTTTCATGGTTACTGGTCATCTCTGGATGTTGTTTTTTGAGAAGCGAACAACCAGATCTTTTGCCCATGTTCCCCTTTGTTCCTTTATATTCCAAAGAAAACACCAGAAAGCCACAGGATGCAGGGCAAATCCTGTCCCCTGTGCTTGTGAATAAAGCTTTACTGGGAAACAGCTGTGCACGTTTAATTATGAAGTATATTTGGCTGCTTTCATACTAAATAGCAACTAACAAATAGTTGGGCAGGTATGACAAAGCCCAAAATATTTACTGATTCCTCATTTTTAAAAAAGTACCCATGCTTTTTCTACTCAATTGTCACATATATGAAGACACATATATCTTGTACATTTTAGTTTCCTATTCACCTTCGTAATGGTGTCTGATAACAAGTTCTTAAAGTTAGTATATTCAAATTAACAAAACTTTTATAGTTTAATGCTTTTGGATCTTAAGAAAACTTTGCTTAATCTAAGGCTTTAAGATTCTGAGGTCTTCTTAATAAAACATACATTTCACATTTAGATCTGTAACTATCCAAAACTGATTTCTCCGTTTTGTTAAAATTATGCAACTTGATGGGGAAAAAAACCATATATTGGAAAGAATAACCTTTTCCCCACTGTACTTCTCCATCATTTTTGCACAACTGTGTATGTATGGGTCTATTTCTAGAACCCCTATATTCTGTTCAGTTGGTGTTTTCTTTGTGCCAGTATCACACTATCATAATTCAATGGCTTTATAGCAGGCATTGGTACAAGGGAATAAAAATTCTCCAGTTCTGTTTTCCAAGACAGCCTTGACTACTATTGGCCCTCTTGACTGTTCATACAAACTTTCAAATTAGCTTGCTAATTTCCATTAAAGAACTTTCTAGGATTTTAAGATTGCACTGAATATGATTTAGGGAAAACTTTATCCTGAAATCTGCAAACAAAATATATCCCTCTCACTGTGCTATGATTTTTTTCCTAGATAAAAGTTCTTGAAAATGTTAAATTTTCCCTTAGGCACTTGAGGATTTTTTAAGTGGTATTGCTTTTAAATTTTTTATTTTATTTGCTGGTATAGTGAAAGAGAATTTTTGCAATATGACCTCAGGTTCAGGGACCTTGCTTGTTTTTTTTTTTTTTTTTTTCCCCAGAGCTGGGGATCAAACTCGGGACCTCATGCATGCTAGGCATGCACTCTGCCATTGAGCTACTTCCCCAGCCCTCAATTTATTAATTCTATCTCTCAGAATATTCTATGTGCAAAATCCCATTATCTGAAGAGGTTTTACTTCCCTTCCAATCCTTATGCCTTTGCTGTACTTGCCTTACTTTCCTGGCTAGGTCGTCCTACATAATGTTGAATAAAAATTTGTGACAGTGAATATCCTCATCTATATTTTCATCTTGGGAGAAAATTTCATTTTATCACTAAGTATGCTGTTTGTTGTAGTTTAAGTTACTCTTTATCCAATTAAGGAAATTCAATTGTATTTAGCCAAGATCATAGTGGATATTAATTTTATCACATTAATTTCCTACATACCAGACCACTTCATGTGATCAGTTTTTTTAAATTTCTTCTTCTTTATTTTTTTGGTGGTGCTGGGGTATTGAAACCAGGTCCTTATGCTTGCTAGGCAACAAACTACTAGTCATCTACTAGTAGATCCTCACTTTTGAATATTTAGCTACCTTGCATTCTTGGAGTATGACACTGCTAGGAATAAATTCATTTTCCAGAACAAATCCATCTCCATTTTGTTTGTTCAGGTGTGGGTCATGTGAGCACTATAAACAAGTTACAGAAATCCCTCCACACCTGAGGTTTTTGGGATCAATTACAGTTCAAAAACATTAAATGAAAAATTTTAGAAATAATTCCTAAGCTTTAAGCTGTGTAACACTCAGTGATCAACTTGCTCGATCATGCCTGGGAAGTGAATCATTGCTTTGTCCAGTGAACCACACTGCATATGCTACCTGCAGCCATCATGGTAATCACATAGACTGTTAGCAGTATCAAAGTACCTATAAGGGTTTGGTAGTATTCACTGTCTCAGGCATCTGTTCAGGATCTTGGAACATGTCCCCTACTACTATACTGGCAATTAGAGTGGAATTGTCACTATTGGCTTAGAATAATCAGGATTTACTATCTATGCCATATAAAAAAATAGTGGGTAGCCAAACACTTCTAGCAGGAATGAGGAAAGAACACTAAGTTAATGAACCAAAAATTGACTGCTAGAAACTCAGAGATTTGTTCTGAAATACTGGGAATAAGAGTAAAAACACAAAATGATGCCATATTTTGATGAGATAAAAATGTGGACAAAATTTCTGAATTACATAATACTGGCACTTGACATACCTCAAAATCTGTGGATTAGAAAACAAGAGTGGTATATGGGAGTTGGGATACTTTGTATATACGAACAGTGCAGTTTCTCTTTCACTGAAACTTCAACTCCAAATAATGAATGCATAGTTTATCAAGTGTTTTTAAATTTTCTTTTCTTTTCTTTTTTTTTTTTGTTCAAGTACAGTTGAAAACTACAAAAAATCACTCTCCCCTGTACTGATGAGGCAAGCATTCACTAAAATCCCACTTGCAAATTCATCTAAAGAATAGAAAATTACATACTTTTTTATTTTGTAACTATCAAATATTATCTCACTGACAATATGTCTTAATAGTACATTTTGCCATTCTAATACTCAAGAAATACTGACTTTTCATAAAATCACGCAAATCCAAACTTGCATAAAATTGCATAGAACTACCATTAAACTGCATTTTAAAACATGATAATAAATGCCACATATTTATTTAATGCTATTGTCCTCATGATCAATTAACTCTTAATGATTTTTAAACTTCATTTTATGCAATGAATTCAAAGCTGAGAGCTTCTGGTATCTTTCCTATAAACACCTGTTTCTACATTAGAAATATGGCTTTTGGCATTACAACTTCCAAGATAATGTTTTACACATTCATCATATTGACATATTTCTCCTTAGTATGATTCCCTGATATGTAAATACGCTTTAAATCCAAAATAAATATTAAATATTTGTAAAGTTCCTCCTCTGTATAAATTATCTGGTGTCCCATGAGCTGTATGGTCTTGCTGAAGGATTTGCTTTTGTTGTACTTTTAGGGATTCTTCTTTGAAAATTCAGATTAAAATGGATCTAGCAACTCAGTGCATTTCCCCATTCAGGAACATGAACACTCAGATGAACAATATTGGATTTCCCATATTTATTTTTCTAAAAATTGAGATTTTACTTCAGAGGTTTTCCACATCGAGTACATTCATATTCCCTCTTTTATGAATTCTCTGATGGCTATTGAAGGCTGATCTGTGGTGGAATTTTTTCCCACATTCATTACATTCATAAGGTTTCTCTCCTGAATGAGTTCTGTAATGTACAGTGAGGTATGACTTCTGAGAAAAGACTTTCCCACACTCATTACATTCATAGGGTTTCTCTCCTGAATGGCTTCTGTAGTGTACAGTGAGGTTCGACATCCGAGAGAAGACTTTCCCACATTTACTACATTCATAGGGTTTCTCTCCCGAATGAATCCGATGATGAATAGTCAGGTATGACTTCTGAGAGAAGAATTTTCCACATTCGTAACATTCATAGGGCTTCTCGCCCGTGTGTACTCTTTGATGTCTAAAAAGGGATGAGTTATGGGAGAAGGTTTTCCCACATTCATTGCATCCAAAGGGTTTCTCTTCTGCATGACCTCTGTAATGTATGGTGTAGTATGACAAATCAGAGAATGATTTCCCACATATATTACATTCATAGGTTTTCTCCCCTTTTGGAAGTGACTGGAGCTCACTGAAGGCTGAATTTTCAAGGAAGGTTTTCCCACATTCATTACATTCATAGGGTTTCTCTTCTAAATGGGTTGTATGATGATCAGTGAGACATGGCAGCTGAGAGAACTTTCCACATTCACTACACTCGTGAAGTTTCTCTTCTGTGTGTACTTTCCGGTGCCTAATGAAGGCTGAATTTAAATTGAAAGTTTTGCCACATTCAGTGCACTCATAAGGTTTCTCTTCTAAATGACTCCTATAATGTATGGTGAGGTATGATACCCGAGAAAAGAATTTCCCACATTCACTACACTGATAGGGTTTCTCTCCTGTGTGTGTTCTCTGATGTGTAATAAGAGTAGACTTTCGGTAGTAGGATTTCCCACACTCATTACATTTATAAAGTTTTTCTCCTGTGTGCGTTCTCTGATGGTCACTGAGGGCTGACTTACGGGAAAAGGACTTCCCACATTCGTTACATGGATATGGCCTCTCCCCTGAATGGTTTCTCTGGTGTAGGGTGAGATGTGTCTTTTGACAGAAGGTTTTCCCACACTCATTACATTCATAGGGCTTCTCGCCTGAGTGGGTTCTCAGATGCTGTGTGAGATGCAACTTCTGACAGAAGGTTTTCCCACATTCAGTACACTTATAGGGCTTCTCCTCTAAGTGTGATCTCCTATGTACAGTGAGGGTTCCCTTTTGACTAAAGGACTTCCCGCATACATTACATTCATAGGGCTTCTCTCCTGTATGAGCCCTCTGATGAATGATAAATTTTGACTTTTTGCAGAAGGACTTTCCACATTCTGTGCATTCAAAGGGCTTCATTTCCATCTGTGACCTCTGATAGGMATTAAAATTTGACATCTGGATGAAATCTGGTCCAGAATCATCCCATTCATAGGGCTTCTCCCCCATATAAGCTCTCTCGTGAGCAATGAAAACAGCTTCCCTGTCTAAGGCTTCCATGCACTCGTATTCAAAGGGTTTCTGCAGAATGCTTTCTTCACTTTGAGAACAGGTGTCCCCATTTTGACTGAACTCATAGGATTTTTCTCCATGACAACTTTTCCCACATTCATTACACTCATCAGTTTTCTTTCTGGCATAGCTTCCATCACTACTAATTAATTCTGAAATAGATTCTAAATTCTCCCCACAGGAAACACAACTGTGAGCATTTATGTCTGAAAGAACACAGTGTGTATCCACATAAGTTTCATCAAATGCATCTCCTCTGTCGTCCATCAGGGTTTGGCTGTGCACATCACCAGCTTGCCTTGAATGTTGGTCTTCATCTTCTTGGATTCTCTCTACTATGTCATCAATTTCCCAGACTTCTGAAAAGGAACAAGATTAAACAAACCATGTGAATCTGAACAACCAACCAACAAAATGGGAGCTGATTCTGGTTTTAGGGTCAATCTCCACAAATAAAAATAACCGAGTGTATATGTCTCTTTTTCTTTGTGATAGAAAATGCACATACACATAGGGGTGGGGTAGAAGGACATGGTGAAGGAAAAGGACAGGATAGGACTCAGTGCATTTAAAAATAAAAGGAATTAATTCAYGTTAAATACAAGTACTTTATTACTATGTAGTATAATGTGTAAAACTTCAGTAATAAAGATGAAAGAAACTCAAGACATGATGAGCGAGAATAAAATCATTGAAAAAGTGCTAGAGTTAGACAGAAATGAAAGGCCTTAGAGCAAAAGAGGTCAGTGGAAGACAAGAACAATGCGAAGAATATATTCAAGTCTGGATTATGTTAAGAAGAAACAGATTATAATTTATGTTAAATTGCAAGCTGTCACTTCATTTCAATACTACAACTTACCTAGACCCTTCCCAAATCTTTGTCTTTCTACACTGCACATAAATCCATACAAACACTCTAAAAGCACCAGTTTCCTCATGTTTGGAGACAGTCCCATAACCAGGGATTAGAACAGTCTATGACACAAAACAAATGCTCATTAAGTTTAACCATTAACATTATTTGAATTTACTGGCATAAACTCCTCAAACCAATCATGTCCCTACCATAAGACTTCCTTAATTATCAAATTCCTAAGCTGCACCTAGGACATTAACAGGGATGACCATTTTAAAAAACTGGATACTCTATTTACTGACCTGAATGACTTTGAGAGGGGAAGTCATCTTCTATTGTCCATGGCTCTTCTCCCTGCTCCAATTTAATGATCACATTTGGTTTGGTTACATCATACCCTGTTAATAAGAAGTGAAGAAGGACTCAGACTAGCTGGCTGWCTTTAGAATCTATGCAGTGTAGGATAACTTGCCTCACAAGCTGCATAACAAAATGCCCCATMTTTTTTACCTTATAAAAATTTTTTACCTCTCAATGGAGAAATAAAGTTACAAACATTCAACTTAGGCCCAAAAGGAAATAAAAGATCTTATTCAAATTCAAAGACAAAATCCTTAAATTGAAAGTGTTGAGAACATAAGCTGTCCTCACCCACAGAGACAAGGTTGCTGTAGTTCTCCAACATCACATCCCTGTATGTCATCTTCTCTTCAGGATCCAGATGCTGCCACTCCTCTTGAGTGAAGTCCACAGCCACATCTTTGAATGACACTGGCCCCTGCAGCGGCATCAAGTCAAAACTGGATGATGTGGAACAGAAACACAGAGACAAGATCTTCCCAAGCTCACTGGTAAAGTTAACTACAAACACTGTATACCTTATTTTATATTTTGAACTGTGAAAGAAATACAAACTTACTGGAAACACATTGCCTTTGAGTTCTTTAATATATAAGAAACAAAAAAAGCAAAATTAAAAAACAAGGTACAACCGAGTTCCCATTTTACCACTGAACTATCTGAGTTTTCAACAATACCATTCCTGCTCTCAAAAGGATGACAGCCTAATGAGGAGATGACTTGTACATAAACATGCATTTTGCTCCTTCTCACTTCCTTCTGTTTCCTTTGCTGGCTTGTCCTTCCCTTCTCCTGGACCCCTTCACGGTATAGCAACCGTGACACAGGCCCTGTCTCTCTCCTTCCCATCACTATTCTGCTGCTCTTGCCCAGTTCCACTCTTTGATCTTTTGCCTTTCATCTGCACAGCCAGCTACTTTTGGCCATCTGCAAAATGAAGTTGTTTACCTCTTTYACCTTATTTCAAAATCTCATTCTTGCAGTAATATGTACTTTTTGTTTGAATGAATAACCAAAGGTATTATAGAGTGATGTGTGCAAGTGGTGTAACAAAAGGAAATCAAACTATTTTTAAGTTTACGCTCTCAGATTAGGCTTTACAGATTTGGTTAATTTGAAGCCCCTAAGTATGAACCATGTAACTAAATTGAGATGAAAAGATGACGATGAAGTCTTAAATACCAATGGCAAAAACTGAAGCAGCATCAATGTTTAAAAGGTTGGTGTAGAACAGGCCAAAAGACACCAAGAAGGTCCTTTCCTAAGGACAGCTTTTGAGACAATAAGGGTCGACTGTAATTCAAGAGGGTAAAGTGAATGTACACAATTACTTTCCTGCCTCAAAAAGAAACAAAAAAGCCCAAGTCAAACAGAAAAAGAGATTCACTCTCCTAAGAGCAGTGGAACACAGAGGCTAGGAAATTAGGAATTTCTCCGAGGACATCTTTGAGGTCCAGAGAAGAGTAAAAGACAAAAAGAGCCTGGAGCCATGAGACACAACTTTATACAGAGGCTAATGGGCTGCAGCCAAAGCAAACAGCAGGTTCTCCAGTAGAGTCCTTAAGAATCTCCAAATCCATGGCAGGCCTAGGGCTCCTGTGGGTAGCATAGTGATTGGCTGAGTAGCTCACATGATGATCTGATTTAAGCACACTTACCAGCTAGATGAATGGTGGATCTGAGAAGAACCCTCTGGATATGGCACTACAGAGACATGGCAGGGTATATAATAACAGACGTCTGTCACTAGGACAACCATAAATGCACTGTCTAAAGAGAAAACTTCTGTCTGGGACAAATGATAAACATAGGATACTTGGAATATAAGTGCAATCCAAGATTATTCCAGGTAAACCAGTACATACATATTCAACTCTATCCATATTGGATATGGATTCTTTTTCCCTAAAGGCAGACTCTAAAAATATATTCTCAAAGCAACAAGGCTCAAAGTTCTCAAAGCAACTTGAGCAAATTACTTAGTACATAAAGACTGGATTGTTGAATTGCTTTAAAAACTCTCACGTAAGAAACTTGATTAACAAATGGGACACAAAATATATAATTCACAACACAAAACTGAGATCCAACAGGTTCAACATTTTCATAAATAAGGAACAAAGAGGATAAACAAAAGAAATAACTAAAGACAAAATTGAAAATGACACCCAGGCTGAGGAAACATGTAAGCCTTCTCATCAAAAGGGGCCTCTAATTTACAAACAAGAATACTGGGGAGGAAAATACAGAGATCCAGAAATTTCCTGATAAAATATCTTAAAATAGGTCTGGGGATGTAGCTCAGTGGAAGAGCACTTGCCTTACATGGGTAAAGTCCTGAATTTGATCACTAGCACTTCTAAAACAAAACGAAAAACCTAAAGTTTAAAAGTCCTAAAAGCCTTGAAATCCTAGTGACTTGGGAGGTTGAGGCAAGAGAACTGCAAGTTCAAAGCTAGCTTCAGCAACTTAGTGAGACCCTGTCTCAAATAAAACATAAAAGGCGCTGAGGTAAAGCATCCTGGGTTCAAATCCTAGTATGAAAAAATTCCTAAAATGTTATCAGGAAAAAAACACACTATTAATCCTGGTAACTGACATTCTACTTCTCATCTGATAGAATACAATGAAGAACTGCCCACAAATTTAAAAGAAAAATGTAAGATTTGGAACCTAGAACTGTACAGCAAGCCAAACTATTATTTAAGCCTGTGGGCACTTTAAAAGATACTTTCAGAAAAGCAAGACAATTTATTACCTAAGAACATAATTTCTTTAAAACACTCAAACCTTAGTGAAACATCAGCAAGCAAGGGTTTTCAGTGTTGTTGTAAGAAGCAGATCTGGGGGGCTGGGGATGTGGCTCAAGCAGTAGTGCGCTCGCTTGGCATGCATGYGGCCTGGGTTCGATCCTCAGCACCACATACAAACAAAGATGTTGTGTCCACTGAAAAAACTAAAAAAATAAATATTGAAATTCTCTCTCTCTCTCTAAAAAAAAAAAAAAAAAAGCACAGCAGATCTGGGGACTGCAAACATATAAAAAGGCAAGTACTCAGTGAACATGTTACATTCTATTATAAAAGATGCATTAACCCCAAATGGACATCCACCGGTGCAGCCACAACTATACAGGACCCCAGAATGACCCCCTAAGACAGCAAAGGTAGAGCTGCTACCTCAAGCAGAGCATCCAAGTTTATCCACAGGTAAGAAATTAGCTGACAAATTCTCTCATAGAAAGTAGATTCTTATGGAGTAAGTTATTCCAGAAGGCAGTGGTGCTGTGGGGGTTACAATAGAYATCAACAGATAACATAAAATTATATACCAGTATCATTTGTCAATATAGCTAAAATAAAATGCTAATAAACAAAATCCAATACCAGGTTTAAAAAATATTATAATTACCAAAGAGGACTTATTTTAAGACTATAGGTTAGATAAGCATATAAAAAAACTATGAATATGGATTATAATACAACTAAGAAAACTTTTATATCTCCTGAAAAAGCCTGATAATACTTAAAATGCACACCTGATTTAAAAACTCAAGAAAATAGAAATCAATGGATACTAAAATCAACATTTATACACATACATTAAGACACAAGCATACTCTTATACCCTAATATGCACAGTATATACACATACACACATATGTATCAAACACAAGCACATGTATATACTACTAAGTTCACGCACATATATATAAATACACATACACATTTATGCTTCAGTCCTATCRGTACCAAAGTAAGGATCATTTAATGGGAAAACATACACACTCCCAGTAAAACCAGGAACAAGGTTAAATGCTCATTATCTCTAATTAGAGAAGAGAAAATAATTAGAGGAATACAACTGATTAAAACAAAAACTAATTCTATTTGCAGATGACATAAAAACTCAAGAGAATCACTGATGAAAACTTTAAAATACTCCTGAAAGACAGTGAAGTAGACATGAACAAATGAAATGTTTCTTGCTTTGGTGTAAGTAAATTTAATAATACAAAATTTCAGTTACCCTGTTATTTTATAAATATGAGATCTCAACAAAAAATATCAAAAAGCCTTTTCTTAAAAAGAAATAGCTTATGAATAAAAAAAATGGATATCTAAAAAAAAAAAAGCCTTTTCTTGGAACTAGACAAGCAGATACTAAGGTTCACATAAAGAAGGAAAAAAACTGAGAATAACTATGAAAATATTTTAAAAAGTTACAAAGGGGGCCTAACACTACTGGATTTCTGGATTTAAAACAATGCCTCTATGATTAAAATAGTTTGGTAGGGCTGGGGTGTAGCGAAGTGGCAGAGTGTGTGCTCAACACATGTGAGGCCCTGGGTTCAATCACCAGCACCAAAAAAAAGTATGGTAYTAGTATATGAGATAGATCAATTAAAAATAAAATAAAAATTTTAAAAAATATAAAAATAAAAAAATCATGGTTACGTGATAATGAGAACATCTCAAACCACTGAAGCAGAACTGATTTTTAATAAATGATGCTATGGCTGGGTGTGGCCTGGGTCCCCCAAAAGTCCATTTTGATTATAATCTTGGTCCTATTATCGTGACACTATTGGGAGGTAGTTGAATTTTGAGAGGTGGGACCTAGTGAGTTCTTAGGTCACTGGAGATCAGAAGACACAGTGGGACTCCAGTCTCACACATTTCCCATTTGGTGGCATAAGCTCTTTCACACAAGCACCTATACCATGATGTGATGTAGCCAAAAACGAGCTAGTGCCAGCATCACACCTTGGTCCTGCAAAACTGTGAGCTAAATAATAAATGACTTTTCTCTTTATAAGTTGGTTACCTCCAGTATTTCTAAGGTTGACAATAAAATGAAAGACAAGTGATAACCATTTTGACATGGATTAAACTGCACTCATACCTTACACCAACCAGGCGAGTGATCTAAGTGTTAAAAAAAAAAACCATACCAAAAAAAATAAGTGAATTTACTAAAGGAGAAAAATGGAAGTATACTATTGTAAGCTTCTTATATTTTTAAGTAAAATGGTGTATTTCTATAAGATAAACTATTGATAAAATTGCACACCATAAATTCTAAAGCACTTATTAAAGTAWCAAAGCAGTATTATAGTTAATACCCAACAAAAGAAATAAAATGGGATAGTAAAATATAATCAAGGGGCTGGGAGTGTAACTCAGTTGCATATCACTTGCCCAGCACCCATAAGGCCTTGGGTTCAACCCCTCGCACTGCAAACAAAACAAAACCCCAGTCAAAAGGAAGATTAAGAAGAAAAAGGAAACAATACACGGCAAATAGAAAACAGACAATAGACTATAACTTAACCAGACACAGCAATAATCACATTACATGTAAATGGTCTAAACGCCCCCAATTAAGAATTGTCAAAATGGATAAAAAGAAATAAGGTCCAACTCTAGGTTACCTGTAAGAAATACACTTTAAATATAAAGACAAACAGGTTAAAAGTAAAACAATAGATAAGATATACCATGCCAACATTACTATAAAGTGGAGCTGGGGCTGGGGCTCAGTGGCAGAGAACTTGCCTTGCAAGTGTGAGGCACTGGGTTTGATCCTCAGCACCACATAAAAATAAATGAATAAAGATATTGTGTCCATCTACAACTACAAAAATATTTTTAAAAAGAAAGAAAGCCAGCCAAAGTGGCTTTATAAATAACAGATAACGAACATTTTACAGCACAAAACATTGCCAGAGGTAAGGAAGGCCATTTCACAATATCAAAGAGGTTAATTAATCAAGGACATAAAAATCTTGAAGGTGTATATATCTAATAAAATACATTAAGTGAAAACTGATAGAACTGCAAAGAGAAATAGACAAACCCCAGTTGCAGGAGGAGATATCATGTCCCCTTGCACAATCAGTTAGGATAAAAATGSCCCATTCACAATAGCCTCAAAAAACATAAAATACCTGGGAATCAATCTAACAAAAGAGGTGAAAGACCTCTACAGTGAAAACTACAGAACACTACAGAAAGAAATTGAAGAAAACCTCAGAATATGGAAAGATCTCCCATTCTCCTGGATAGGCAGAATTAATATTGTCAAAATGGCTATATTAACAAAAGCGTTATACAGATTTAGTGCAATTCCTATTAAAATCCCAATGACATTCTTCATAGAAACAGAAAAAAAAAAACAATCATAAAACTTACTTGGAAAAAGAAGAGACCCAGAATAGCCAAAGCATTTCTTAGCAAGAAAAGTGAAGCAGGAGGCATCACAATACCAGACCTTAAACTATACTACAGAGCTATAGTAAAAATAATGGCATGGTATTGGCACCAAAATAGACATGTAGATCAATGGTACAGATTAGAGGACCAGAAATAAACCCACATAAATACAGTTCTGTTATACTAGACAAAGGTACCTAAAACATTCACTGGAGAAAAGATAGCCTATTCAACAAATGGTGCTGGCAAAGCTGGAAATATATATGTAGCAAAATGAAATTAAACCTCTCTCTCTCACCCTGCACAAAAATCAACTCAAAGTGGATCAAAGACTTAGGCACTAGAACAGAGACCCTGTACCTAACAGAAGACAAAGTAGGCCCAAATCTTCACCATGTCAGCCTAGGATCTGACTTCCTTAATACGACTTCTAAAGCGCAAGAAGAACGAAACAGACATTGTTATTATATGACTGCATGACCAATGTGATTCTACAACATGTACACTCGGAAAAATGAGGAATTATATCCCATCTATGTTTGATATATCAAAGTGCATAAATGCATTCTACTGTCATGTATAACTAATTAAAACAAATAAAAAATTTAAAAAAAGAACACACTGGTTCATGATAACCAAACAAAAAAGCATGCTGCTCAGGAGCCTACCCAATACATTGAAAACATTTTTTTCTGTATCAACCACTTAACTAAAATGGAGAAATGTTTACTTTCAGAAAATTATTCTAGCGGATAAATGAAGAAATGGTAGAATTAATGGGTTACCATCCTGCCTTCCCTAGTGAATTACTGGATCATGACAATCAACATCAATCAGTAGATGCTAAACTTACAAAAAGGATAGAATAGAAGGACAGGATGTGCCTCTAGAGGGACACAAATGCTCAAAGAACTAAACATAAATCTGATTGAACTTCCAGATCAAACCAACACTTTTACAAGGCATACAAAGAATTTTAAAAATGTGTTAAAAGTAAAATGATGGCAACACATTCCCAACTGGGAAACTGAGGATAAACAACCCACTTTCTAAGAAAAACAAATGGCAAACGATAACACAAGAAACATATTAAGGAAACTACTATTGAGAGACTTAAAAGACTTATCAATCAATCAGCATGGAATCTACCTATATTCTGAAAAAAACAAGCAAATCAAAAATATTGTTGGGAAAACTGAAATTCTGAACACTGGATATTATATACTAAAAAAGAATGGCATTGTAGGTAGTCTCTAACCCTTGTTAAAAAGACTCCTTATAATTTAAAGAAATACTTACAGATGATTTTTTTAAGCCCAAAGAAGGGAAACACCATTAAAAAAGTATCAATCAGTTTGGAAGTAACAAATATCAAAGCAGATTAAGAGTCATAGTGGATAAGAACTGGAAAGGCTGCTGGATTTGACCATAATTAAATCTCCAGCATTCCTTCCTCACAGATTCAGGAAAGTGGTGAGGATGCAACCAAAACACTCAAAAGGGAAATGTGAGTGGGAAGTAAAAAAAATCTTTATAAGATAATTATTTTTATATTGTTTGCTATGCAACCAAAATGGACTTACAGAAATATTTCAAGAATGATCAGCTCATTCCCCATGATTTAGGTTCATCTGTAGTTTAAAAGAGTAAAAGCAGAAATGTGTCTACTTAGCTCAATACTTTGGTCCCTGGGAAGTTATATGACCAAGTTCTCCGTGGGCAGCTGGCCATCTGCTGACACAGCCAACAAGTAAGTCAGCATTGCAATGATTTAATGGTTGTTATTAGGAAAGCTATCCACAATCATATCAATTTTAGCAATGAAATTTTTTTCTGAGCCATAAGAAATCGTTAAAAGCTACAAGTAACAAAAATGGATTCTTATACTGATGTAAATGCTGCAATGGATATTGTCCCTATGGCTGTCAAGAACATCTGAGCCACGTTTGTGGCTTCATTACCTTCATTAAAGTATCACATTACTTACACATTAAGTCCCTGACAGAAGAGTCTCAGTGCTGATCTGCCGTCTTTTATTGATTTCTATATTTCCATTTTAAAGTACAAATTCTTAAAAACCTAAGATGCATTACAAAGGAAAGTGAAAGAAAATATACACAGAAAACTCACCTGCAATTTGTTCATTTTCTGCTGCTCTTGGAAAAGTGTAGAGATTGTTGATGGTGGACCTAAGGGAGGAGAAGCAGGTCATTGAAGACAGCAGTTACCTGGCCTGCACAGGTAGGAATTACCTGTATGAGAACCTTGAAATTAAGCTCAATGAAATCTGATCCCTGAACTCTCAGAAGAGAAAAAATGGGTGAGAGGGAGGAAGCATACACTTGTACCTTTCGAATTCCAATGTGATCAAGTGGTAATTAGACGACTTAAGATTCTCAATGATGACGGGGCTGGGGTTGTGGCTTGGTGGTAGAGTGTTTGCTTAGTACATTCGAGGCCCTGGATTCGGTCCTCAGCACCACACATAAATAAAAAATATAAAGGTGTTGTGTACAACTAAAAAATAAATATTTAAAACAAAGATTCTCGGGCTGGGGATGTGGCTCAAGCAGTAGTGTGCTCGCCTGGCATGCGTGCGGCCCGGGTTCGATCCTCAGCACCACATACAAACAAAGATGTTGTGTCCGCCGAGAACTAAAAAATAAATATTAAAAAAATTTCTCTCTCTCTCTCTCTCTCTCTCTTTAAAAAATAAAAATTGGGGGATAGTAGGGGTTAGGAAAGGTAACAGATCAAGACAGTCACTAATATGCCATTATGTAAAAATGTGAGTATGTAACAGATGTGATTCTGCCATCTGTATTTGGGGTAGAAATGGGAGTTCAAAACCCAATAGAGTCAAATGTATGAAAGATGATTTATCAAGAGCTCTGTAATGTTTGGAACAATCAATAAAAAAAATAAAAATTAAAAAATAAAAATTAAAAAAAGATTCTCAATGGTGAACATAAACATTGACTCCTTTGTCAGCCTGACACAGGTGGGGAAAAAAAAATTCCCCTTAGAGTACTCATGTGTCTTATTGTCTCTTTAATTTTTTAAAAAGCAAACAAGCCACAGGTATTGAGAATCTGACCTTTCCTCATAAATGGAAGCTACAGAGAAATAAGGAATCTTAAATAATAATTTAAAAAGGTGGGGGGAATCTCATGAAAACAGAAGGGAGAACACTGGAGTAAAGGAAGGGAATCAAGTGGGAGGAAGGAAGGAGAGGAGAGGGAAGGAATTGTAGAATGAAACAAACTACATTATGTTCATGTGGCCAGGGAGAAGACATGTCTTGCAAAAAGGGTGCAAGGGGGTCCCAGAATGAAGGGAGAATTTGACTCAGGACCAGTGGGATTCTTCGCATACAGCATGCAGTCATAGGAATAAACAGAAGTTCATTTAGGAAAGTGGATACATATTTAAGGGAGAATGGGGGTAAAATTAAGAGTTACCTTTGGGATAAAGCAAGGAATATACATGCAAGGGAGGATGCAGGTTATTTCCAGAGGAGGAGACAGCAACTTGTTGATAAGGGCTGTTATATTTATAAAGGAATAGTTGCTAGAGTCTGGACTAGAAGTAAGATCGAGCTACATAATTTCATGAAGGTTTTCCCTGCATTAATAGCATGGGCTAAGAGGATGTTGTTCAGGAGTTGCAATTATTTATGGATGCTTTCTGCATTTCSATGGTTTACGGGCACTTCCTTTGAGACTCAGTATCTCTCTCTTTATTCATGAATTACTATCTCATGAGTATGCACATAACACAACGAATTCCACTTTTATGTACATCTCTAATGCACCAATTAAAAAAAAAAAGCAGAAGGAAAACCAAAAGAGTAGAGGAAGTGTGGGAGGATGGGGGAGTGGGAATAGAGTAGTACTTGGGATTGAAATGGAGTAAACTATGTTATATTCATTTACTTATAGGTCAGAGTAAACTCCGCAATGATATATATGATGCACTATTTCTTTTTTTTGGGGGGGGGGTAGCAGGGATTGAACTCAGGGGCACTTGACCACTGAGCCACATCCCCAACCCTATTTTGTATGTTATTCAGAGACAGGATCTCACTGAGTTGCTTAGAGCCTGGCTTTGAACTTGCAATCCTCCTGCCTCAGCCTCCCAAGGCCTTGGGATCACAGGCATGTGCCACCATGCCTGGCTTCGTGCACTAACTTAAAAAAAAAAACAAAAAACTAGGATACAGTAGACAGAACGTTGGCTTGAAAGTTTGACTACTATTAAATGCAATCCTATCAACAAACCCCATGACCTTCATCAAGTCATCCACCATGTCAGGCACAAAGCCTTCCTCTACCAACCAAAGAAGTAAGAGATTTTTCCTTTGCTGCATTATGATTCTTCGAGGGCGAGGGGGAACTCAACACAGAACTGAGGTGCCCATGGAGGTTTACTGACACACTGAGACAGAAGCGTTGAGAGGAGGAAGGGGAAGATGGGGTGCAGATATAAGTCGCAGTTGAGGCCGGTGTCCATGTGTCCTTCTAGATCTTCCCACMGAGCGCGGAAGACCGTGCAACCCGCCTTGGCCCCACCCAAACCGAGAAACCGCTAAACCCTTCTGTGCCCCCCGCGCTAATGTCCACCACGTAGTGGCTGCACCTAAGGTCCGCTCATAGCGGCGAGCAAAACCACGACTGCCTCTTCTGAGGTTGTGCAGCTTCGGTCCCGCRACTCCCCGAGGGCAACAGAGCGCCGGGAGGTTCCAGCTGGCCGCTGCTACGCCCCGCCCGTCGCGCTGCCCCTTGCCAGGCCCTTCGTTTTCTGAAAGGCCAGAGCTGGGCCTACAGCACAAGTTGAGGCCGCGCCTCCCTGCTTGGCCCAGACCCGCCCCCTCAGGACTCACCGTCCCGCGAGCGCCGGCCTGGCTGCCAAGGAAGCCACCGCCCGCCCGGGTTCCGCTGCCCCTTCGCCGCCGCYGCTGCCCGGCCAACAATCGGGCCCAGCGCCGCGGGCTCGGCAGTCGCGCTCGAGCCTCGGCCCGGACACTAGATCACACAGGCACGCACACTTGACGCCAGCCCGTCCGGTCGACGTGCACCCCACAGGTTCCCAAATCCTCGCCCACCCGAGGGCACAGCCTGGGAACSCGGGCGGCGGTCACCTGGATGGACAGGAAGCCAGGCGAGGCCGCGGCGAGGCGCATGCGTGAGCACGCACACAGGGAGAACTGCACATGCGCAGGACGCCGCCCGAAGCCCGCGGGACCCCTACTCGGACTCTATTTCCCAAAAGTCTGCGCGCCGCCGGACTTAGGGAACGATGCAAAGGTCTCTGCCTCGTCCTGCGGTTAAGAGTTGCTGTGCTAAGAGTCCTGGCCGCCGCGAACCCCGCGCTCGGTTTCGCATTTGTCTCCGGTCCCTTTCGGCTTCTAGCAGCGGGTTGAGTGGTTGGTCCCGGGAGCCCAGGTTCTCTCTTCCTCAGAGCCTTCGGTAGGGACCCAAGTTCTGACAAACCGAAGAAGGTGTGTCCTGCAGAAGTTTTTCAAAGGCTAGGCTACAGCAGATGTCCAGCGRTGCTGTCCAAGGAAGGGAAAGAAGATATAAACCGTAGCTTTTCCAGATCGCACAAGTAATGTGCCCAAACTGCAAAAAGACAGCGCACACCAACTGAAAGGAACCACCTGTGACTGTGCCTGTCCGAGAAGATCACGTTTAGAGTTAGGTACAAATGTCCGTCCTCGAAAAGGAGACCATAAGCACAATGGGTTCTCACTAWTTYKGGCTGAAATAATGCAACAGTTCTCTGGCCTAATTGGTTCTTAAAAGCTGGTGGGGGAAGTAGTAAAAACAAAATCTGCCAACCCAGGAATTCCTCTGCACAAATGCAGAAAGTGAAGACAACCATTTTAATCCCGAGGAAGCACTGAGCCAGACTGTGATGCGCATCCTAGGCGAACCACTAAGGAGACTGCAGGAGGAMGCCTCGCCTTTCTAATACCAAGCAGGGACCCTCCAGCCCTCGCACCCGG